CTTTGCAAATCACAGCATCCCTCTCTGTGCCTCAGTTTTGTCACCAGCAAAATGTAAATCTCAGATTTCTCTTTTTTGGCGCAACTCTTTGAAAGCCATAGCTAAAAATCTGTAGCCGCTTCTTACAATAAAATGAGGGGTTAAAAAAATAATTAAAAATAGTGTTTCTGTAACAAAAGGACCCTGGCTGCAGAAAAGGGAAAGTGATTTTGAGAAAAATGTATTACAGGGTATTAGAGGGAGGCAGCGACTGAGATCTGGATGAGAGGGTGGATGGCAGAAAGAGAGAAGAAAACAAAAAGGAAGTTTTCCTACCTACACTTTTAGCATACTTTCCTCTTCACACCTCTCAAAATATGAGTGATCACAGCAACAGGGACAGAGGGAGAGATAAATTGGCAAAGCTAGTAAGATACTGCATCAGTACCAAACTATAGCATCATTTGAACACTGCTGTCCTGCAAAGTGACTGTGTTCTGGCACCCACGGGGGAACACAACCATTAAAGTACCACACAGCCGACCCCATTTCCCACAGAGGGGTGGCTAGAGAATGCGTAGTGACAGCAAGGGATTTGACTCAGGGCCTCTCTGCACGTTTGTGTAACACACATGGCTCGTGGCGGTTTAACCTTAAGAGTAATGCAATGCAGCCACAGCCCTTTCCCCAGCCTCAGGAATTTGAAAAAAATTTATTGCCTTTGTGCCACACCGTTGCGCAGAGCAGCATCCTGCCTCCCTCCTAAAAGCATTATCCCTACCATGATGAAGTGCTGCCTGCTGGTTAGTGTCGGTCTCTGTGCTGTAGCTTACTTTTTGTCATAGAAAGTACGAAAACAAGGCACTTTCATTTACCAGTTTTGCTCAGAGCGCTGCAGGAGAGGGCAGTCCTTGGTTTTCACTGGTTTCCTCCCTCTTGCCCACGAGGCTGGTTCTGAAGCCTTTTCGGGTCTACCTAAACAGCACAGCAAAGCAGTGCAACAGCAGTGTGTGTCCCAGAGCCACCAGAAATATCATGCTAGCTCAGCACGTTTTGACATTATTGCATTTCCTATGGATTGATGCATCAGCATGAAAACAAACTTTTCTGTCCATCCATGCTGTAAACATGAACAGTTAATACCAATCTGCTTTTGACTCAACTGATTTGGAGACAGAAAGCAAAGAATTAGATACGGTTTTATCCCATGTATAATGCATCATATTTGGGGTTTTTTTTCACTTCAAAGAAGATCAATGAAGCAAAAGAAGTCAAGAGAGATGTCCAAGATCTTTTGACTCCATAAAAAATGATCAATTGGATCTTTCGGATGGGACTGCAGCCTAATGAAACTCTTAAAATAAGCTAATGTCCATCTCCTATAAGTCCCTTTCTACATAAAAAAAATCATTCAAATTCAAGTATAAAAAAGCAAGTACACTTACTTGCATATGTTATTTGCTACAATAATATTAAATTGCTGCAATAATATTAAATGTCATTGACAGACCTTTTAGCACTTACCAAAAAACACTTCAGAGACAAGAGGATATTCTCTATCAACATTTCCTATAAGTGTTTTCCCTTTCAGCATTTTAGAATAGTTTACAGGAAGCACTTGTCACATTTTGAGGAGCTGAGCTCTAAACTCGAAAGCATAAGTTTGTGTTGGGGTTTTTGGAGGGGGAAAGAAGGTCAGTAGACTGGAAACCCAAAGAAGACGATTCATTATCTTGCTTACAAGTTTTTTGGGATACTACATATGGACGTGCCCAAAGACGAGGGCAATTTTAGCGTTGTCTCCAGTTATGTCAAACACTTTCAGTCATAAAATGCAGAGGCACTGGAATCCACAAAGTCAAGCCGACAGAAAAAAGATCTTGTGCAGTTGCCAATCTTTGCTCAGCAGAGGCTCAGAACAGAATAAAAGTGAAGAATAAATTACCTTTTGTGAAATAAAGTGGGCAGTGTGCAAACACACTGCAGATGGGCCATGAGGGACACTTTCTCCTAAGCTCCATCCATCTTCACCTTATAGAAGTACTAAAAGCCTTATCAATAATTTAACAAACTAATGGACATGTTTTTAAACATTGTGGGCTGACTCTTAAAGAAGCGCCACGCTGGCAGAGAAGAATGGCGAAAGTGGAAAGCTTGTGGCTTTTTTCTTCTGTGGATATTTGAAAGTCAGGGCAGCGTGGCGTGCTATAGACACGGTACTTTTGTCAACAGACTAGAGCTTCAGCCTGGGACCGCAAAGCAGCAATGCACTGAAAGGCACACTTCATCTTCACATGCATGTTTTGCAGTTGTTCTAGGTGTGAAGGTCAAGTTTTGAGACTCAGCACTTTCCACCAGTTTAGCTGCTGGGGAGCCTGGTTGCCACCAGGCTGGGAGACACTTTCACAGGGCTTTTACTCAGGGACCAGGACAGCCCACCAGGTTTCCCAGCCATAGCCTACCCCTGGCAAGGCCAGCATAGAATCACCTGGGTTGGAAGGGATCTTTACGATCATCGAGTCCAACCATTAACCCAAAACTGCCAAAACCATCATGTGCCTAAGCACGATGTCTACCCATCTTCTAAATACCTCCAGGGATGGCAATTCCACCACTTCCCTGGGCAGCCTGTTCCAATCTTTGATAATCCTTTCTGTGAAGGACTTCTTCCTAATATCCAATCTAAACTTCCCCTGGCACAACCTGAGGCTGTTTCCTCTTGTCCTATCACTTGTTACTTGGGAGAAGAGACCGACCCTCACCTCTCTACAGCCTCATTTCAGGTAGTCGTAGAGAGCCGTAGAGGTCGTAGAGGTCTCCCCTCAGCCTCCTACATCTTGACATCTCCAGCGTATCTAACATACACTTCAGGCTTTGAAGTACCGTATCCTACACACTGTCCCCTTTGTCTGGGTTGTGCAAGGCATCACCTAAACCATATCAAGCTTTCCTCGAGACGCAGAAAGGGGGGGGGGGAAATTCTCACTGACCTGAGCACACACCCTGGGTGCTAGAGACCCAGGTCTCCTGCTGCAGCTCTCAAAGGAAGAAGATGGCTGCATTTCCTGTACATCACTTTATAAGCTCATAACCAGCCCCCAGCTGTGCTGTTAGTCCCCATTCCTAATCATCCAAAAAGAGATCACCTGGATGTAGATATCTATCTGCCAAGCACACAATTTACCTGTGAATCAGGTGTCCTCACTGCTGATGACAAATCTCTTCAGTCAGGTGCTTCAGACCCCAAAATATGCATAGCTTATACCCCAGCCCTGCCTGCAGACCTGACCCAAGCTGGGCAGGGCGGGTAACACAAGTGGCTGAGCAGGCTGGCTACTGCTCATGCCAGTCTGCAGGCACCCAGCTCTCCCAGGGCTTTACAGCCCAGCTACCAAACCAAAATCAGGCACAAACAGGCCTGGAGCTGGAGTGCTGAGCCTATATCCCTTCTCCAAACCCAGTCCAACCTGAAGGTGAACGGATTGCTGCCCCTGGTCTTCACAAAGCTGAGGCTTTATTTTCCTTTTCCAGAAATTTAATCATAGAATCATAGAATGGTTTAGGTTGGAAGGGACCTTGAAGATCACCTAGTTCCAACCCCCTGCCCTGGGCAGGAACACCTCCCACCAGCTCAGGTTGCTCCAAGCCCCGTCCAACCTGGCCTTGAACACCTCCAGGGATGGGGCAGCCACAGCTTCTCGGGGCAACCTGGGACACTGTCTCACCACCCTCGTAATTGCCTGCATTACGGCAGGACAGCAAACGGCTGAACTTCCCACAGCCATATTCTGGAGTTCACTGTAACCGACACTATACCTCTAATTTTTCCCTTCGTGTCAAGGCCTCCCTGAAGCACGGTATCATTATTGAGAAGTGCACTGCCTGACTTGCTGTTCTGTTTAATTGCTGTGGTCATGTTAGTTAATTTGCACTTTTTGCGATCTGCTGCATATTGTCGATTGTCTGTTTCAGAGATGGTGCTGAAAAAGAAGAAAAAATATACACTGTTCAGTTACCACTATGATGTTATTTCTTGATAACAGTGTAATTAAATTCCACTGTCATTGTGCATCCTATCTTAGGCCAATGTACTGAGTAAAACAGCCAAGTAACAACATTCACTTTGATTGTATCTTCATAAAATTAAATGACCAGCTACAGATAAACCAGGCCTTTGCAGCACAAAACTGTTTGATCCCCTCATCTAAAGAAAATACCGAGAAACATTCTTCACGTTATTCTTACAAATTAGCTTTATGCTTCTGGAAGAAATTAAGAGATCTACAAAGCAGTGGTGATATAAAGGAGAACCACAGTAAGACTGGGGAAAAGGCAGAAGTTATATTGTCTTTAAGGAGAAAACGATGATTAGCTGAGAAATCATCATTCACCAAGGCTTGAAATTTTTACATTTCAGAATTTATTCACCTGGTGAAGTGGAAGTTCCAGCCATGCTATTTTAAACAAACTCGCCAACCCCGCATTCAGAGGAGACAGCCTATTAGGCAGATTTTCAGGTTAATTCTGTAAATAGCAGCCCTGAAACAAAGCAGTGCCTACCTGTGGGATGGGAGGAGCGGAGAGGTGGCTCCCCAGGAGGTCCCGGGGCAGTGGGGACTCCGAGCCCAGGGCTCACGTATGCCAGCGCCCGCCTGACGCCTGCGCGGGGTGAGGAACAGTGAAGTAAACAGGAGGCACGCGAGAAACAACTTTATGTTGTTTGTAAAAAGAAGTCAAAACCAGAAGAATAAAAAAAGTATCTCTGACAGCATCTCCTGAATGCTGGTCCATGGGGAGCCCGTGAGTAATACATCCCTTCAGAAAAGGGATTTTAAAGAAATGGCACAGACAAGTTGGGAGATTTGACCCTCACAGAGAGGCTGGGAAGTGCGACCAGTTTAACATTTTCATCGTCTTCTTTTGGTTTGGGCGGGGGGGGAGAGGGCCCCGTGCCTGCCCTTCCAGCCAAACGCTGCCATCTCCTGCTGTCCTGCCACTGAAAGGTTTCTTTTGCCTCCCAGATCAGCATCTTCATGACCCATTTGTCTAATTATGGGAACGACCGCCTGGGCTTGTACACCTTTGCGAACCTGGCCAACTTTGTTAAGAGCTCCACTAACCTGAAACTGCAGACGCTGCCCCCAGTTCAGCTGGCTCAGAAGTATTTTGAGCTCTTCCCAGAGCAGACGGACCCTCTTTGGCAGGTAATGTCACATCCTCTTCCTCCTCCACTTACAATCCGCTTCTTAAAATAAGAATCTTTTCCTGTAAAAAAAAATAAAAAAATCTCACTTCACATTCAGATATGTTATTTCTTCCCGCATGCTGCCTTAGATTATTTAAATTTTCTTGATATCTCAGGGCAAACAATGCAGATTCGTTGCACCCCTTGATGAGGGATCACTACTGTGGACCCCTGCAGCTAGAGGAGGATTCCCCACCCTCTGAAGCCCCTTCAATGAAACAGTGAGGGAAAGGGAGGGCAGGAGGGGGCAGCGCAGCAAACACAGAATGGGCGGCTATTTTAAGAATGGAAAAGGGTTTCTGCACAGATTGACTATTTTCTATCCCTGTTTCAACTGCACAATAGTACTGCTTGTAATCTCAGCACTGTAATTTCCTAATCATTGTTACACATATCTGGCTCTTCTCCTATTCAGAATGTGATGTGCCACGCTGTGCTTTTAGCGATGCAGGCGTAAATCCAGAGTGACACCACGGAGATCTGTGCGGTTATTTTGGGCTTAGACTGGCAAAAAGGAGCAGAAAATTTCCCTATTATTTTTAGCCCAGATGCAAAAGAAGTATAAATCTATAACATTTCCATTGAGTTTAGTGGAGCTGCAGCGATTCGCATCAGTTAATGATTTTCTCCATTATATTTCCTTAACTTTATTCACTAGCAAACTGTATCTTCTATTACCAGCCAAATACTATGCAAAAGCAGTATCTATATGATAACTGCTTTAAAGAGCCGTCAATCCTAACCTTTTCTGTGGGGTCTTTTGTTCACATGTTTTTATTTTGCATTCATAGGTAGTAGACAGATAAGGAGACGAATAATATCCCACATTTCTATTTTGTCCTTCCTTTTGGGTTCTTATGTAAATTAAAATTGGCACTATGCATCTGAAACCATTTTGTCACCTAAGAAAGTAATGCCTTGAAGCTATTCAAACAGAGGTTTCCATTTTAACCTCAAATGAAAACTTGAATAAATCAATGTTTTAATCTTTTTTTTCCCTTCTTTTTCTTTTCTTTATTTCTAATGACTGAACTTAATCCTCAGTCATGCAAAACCATTTTATACGCATTGAATTTTAGTCAAAGGGACCACATAGGTGCCTACCTACGTGCCTGTGGACTCTGAGTTTATTAAATGAGCCTGACTGACGGCGAGAAGAAAATGCAGTAGTCTCACAGGGTGTGGATTTTGACACCAATCCTTCCAGGATTTGTACAACTATGTGGCATTACTGACTTCACTGGCACCCCTGGAAGGATTGGTCCTGAAGAATACCCAGGAGTTTGGTCCCTGCCTACCTGAACGCTTCCATGGATCTGTACCAGAGTGCTCAGTATCCGTCAACAGTAAACTATTAGGAGGAAATGTGGGATTTTACTAGTTAGTGTAAGGTTCTGGCGTTAGTGCATAACATTTAGATCCTGCAAAACTCATGTGCGTGCAAACATTTAGGAAACCCCCAGCATGATGTACACAACTGCCTTTTCTTCTTCAGAATCCGTGTGATGATAAACGACACAGGGATATTTGGTCCAGAGACAAAACTTGTGACCACCTACCCAAATTTCTTGTGATAGGACCCCAGAAAACAGGTAAGAAGTCGTGAATTTGTAACTGAAGCTACTCCCCGCCAGTTTTGTACCTGGGTATTTGTGTCCAACTCCCTGCTGTAGAGGTCGTGCACTCCCCATCACTACGGGGTTCAGACAGTAACTCCTTCACTGCCAACAGAAAGGGACAACTGTTGGTATAGTAAAATTGCATTCATTCACCATAAAAAAAAACCAAAACGCTGTCAGGCTGCCCTATGTTAAGATTGTTATTCAGTTCTTTGGCAAATTATTAAAAATCGTTTGAGATCCTAATTGACAATAAATGTGTTTACCACCTTGCAGGCCTCTGAGGGTCTCAGGGCATTATTTGAATTAAGCCCCGTACTCCCGCTCCCAAGACAGCTCTTACTGTTGTGGACATATTACAGAAAGCGGATGCCGAAGCAGGGAAATAAATGACTAATCCAAGATCATATAGAAATTCTGCGACAGTGACAAAGAGATGGCAGGTCTTGATTCATAGTCCAATGATAGCTTGCATAGCATGAAATCATCGAATAGCAAGTTTTGAGAGACATTCTCCAAAATTCTGTTTACCATCATATATCATTTGCAGTTGTTTTTGTCAAACAAATAACAAAAAAGTACTGTTACGGGGATTTTAAAGCATACTTATTACATACAGGCTTGTTAGCGTTTACTCCTCAAATTGTTACAATTTACTCCTCAATAGCAGACCCCCAGGAAAAATACACAGGGGACAGGAGTGCAGTTGTGGGAGCAACAAAACCCTAATCCCCCAGTTAGTGCTTTGGAAAAGTTTTGTGCAGCATAAATAGTTTGAAAACAAACGTGTTCAGGCCAAATTCCCTCCCTGGTTACATACACCGTCAAGCAAGCAATGTCATCAACAGCAATATCGTGCCTGCATCAGAGGGCAGAATTCAGAGTTTGGAAACGGGAAGAGTGTGCTGAGCAGAGAAGTCAGCACGTATTCCCCCCTCCCTCTGAAAGCCCCTTGTGCTTACACAGGCCCTTCATCAATAGGCAACAGTCTTAGAAAAGCTAACCTAATTTTCCTCTATATCTCAGCCTGCATTGATTTTAAGTACTTTCTTGAATGAATAAAGTCAAAGGGGTTTTTTTTCTGTTTCCTAATGGCATCTCTTTTTGTTGTCGTAGGAACAACAGCACTTTATTTATTTCTTCTGATGCATCCTTCCATTATCAGTAATCTCCCTAGTCCAAAAACTTTTGAAGAAGTTCAGTTCTTCAACGGAAACAACTATCACAAGGGAATTGACTGGTAGGAAGAATAACAAAAAAGAAGTGTTCATTATTAATACATGGTAAATCACAATGGAACAATTACAGCAGCATGTATGACATCGACATAATTACTGGATGAATTTGTTATGCTTGGCATTATCAGACAGAAAGAGAAACTAATTTGTAATGATGGGACATTTAATCAAGTCCTTAATTTTGTTTAGATATTACAGTAACAATTTTCTTATTTTTTTCACAAATGAATACAATAGCCAGCTCACTTATCATGTCTGTCTTCATGCTGAATAGCAGCTCTGTCTATTCATAACTGTATCTATACTGAATTACACTCCTTTTCTTCCAAAGCGGCTTTTCATGAAGTAACATTCAATTTGTCTCTTCATGAGAAAAAAACAAACCCTCACTGTAAAGCATTTCAGCTGGTATTCCTATCACAATTTTAAATATTGCTTTTATTATTTTTGCTTAAGAAAAGCATTTTTGTAAGGCTTTCGTTTCCACAGGGGACAGCACATCTCATCCTTGTGTGAAAACTGAAATATAAGCCAAACATCACACTACACAGAAACAGATTAATCTTGAGCGGTTTCCCTTGCCCGCATACGGCACGGAGAGCATGCGGAGCAAACGAGGCTGACCGATAAAAGCAGGCTGTCCCCGCAACTACGAGACCAGCTTCTCAGGTCAAGGTGTCACGGAAAATAAAGGGAAAGAAAGGCTTGGTGGTTTTCTTCACCGAAAAACACCTCCAAAACAATTTCACCTTTTGCTTCATTTGAATTCTTCACCCTTTCAGTTGAACCTTCTGTTTTACTTACTTTTGCTTCCGATCAACTTTAAGTGGAAAAGACCATTCAAAGCCAAAATTCAAATCTTGCATTCTGAAAATGTCTAAAAGAAAAGATTTGTCAGTTCCAAAATGAAATATTTCAACGATGTTAAAATTAAATGGTTGACATTTTGAAGCTTTTCCCATTTTTTCCTCCGCTAAAACTGAACTCACTCCAAACTGGTGAAAGATATCCCTTTGACATTGAACTTATTAGCAAAAATCCCATCCATCAAAGGTAAAACCTCATTACCTGACTTCATGGAGGCTTTAGCTATTACCAGCACCATGTAAGAGCCAAGACGTGTTCCCTCTATTCCAGTTCTGGAGTGAGCTGAGGAATTCTATTTTGCTTCTTGCCAGTTATGTCTGAAAATTCACCTTTTCACCTACCATGAAATGGGAAACGCAGGGATACGACCCTTTTGTGATCCCCCGAATTCTAACTAGTTTCTTCACCTCCCAGGTACATGGATTTCTTCCCCACTCCTTCCAACGTCACCACTGACCTCCTCTTTGAGAAAAGTGCCAACTACTTCCACTCTGAGGAAGCTCCTAAGCGAGCTGCTTCCCTCGTCCCCAAGGCCAAGATCATCACCATCCTCATCGACCCGTCCGATCGGGCGTATTCCTGGTACCAGGTACGGACCTCGCCTTCAAGAAACAGCCAGTGAAATCGATGGCAGGGGATGGTGGCCAACATCAGTGGGGATTTGTGTCCTTGAGCAAGAATGGGATTTACCGCAAAGCATTTGCACTGTGTAGAAGTGGAAGGATGCGGAATGCCAGCTTTTGCAGTTGGCACCTGTGACACCAGTGTCATAAATGATGAAACTTCTCAGCACAGAGCTGCCACCAGCTGTAAACAAACAGTTTAATCTCAATTACAGCTGACACGGCGAAGAGGAAAAGCAGTGCTCCTCGTCCAGGGAGATACACAGGGGAAAATGAGCATGGCCTAGCTAGAAAATCAGAGCTCTGGATGCTGAGAATCTGGTACCTCATCCCATCCTCCAGCGTGTAAGCTGAGCAGTAGGCGGTGGTGTACAAATGTATGCAGTGTCTTCTGAAGTTTCCAAGGAGTTCAAAAGAGCTGTGTAGGGAGAGCTGTGGGGTTTTTTTTTGCTCTTCTTGGAAACAAAAGAAAGCCTGTTGTTATTCTGAGGAAATTCTGGGATGCTCTTTCTTGCCTTTTACTGAGCCCACACGTTTCCAAAACAGTCAGCACTATTTAAAACCACTATTTTTAACGAGACGTTTAAGCATGCATGTAAAATATGGTGCAGTCATACCGATAAAGGAGATACTAAAAGCAGTGTTAAAACAGCCACAAATTAATAATGTTGCAGTAAGCATAAAATACACCATTTCTGATACTGTTGTTATGAGTTCTGCAAGGAACAAAGCATGGCCCAGGGCTGCAGTTTGCACCCTTTTTAATATCTCATTTGCACCTTTACAACTGCCAATGCAAGGTGCAAAGTAATAATAATAATAAAAAAAGGCAGTAAAAAAAATAATGTGCCTACTTTGGCAGGATTTGGCTTCTCAGCTCACCTCCCGCCTGTCCCAGGAGGGCCTTTGACTTAATGGTGGTCCCATGCCACTTCCTTGCCCCTCTTGGCTCCTACCCGGCGCCGGCAGGGAGCCAAGGGGCTGCTGTGGCTGTAGCCGAGCTGGCCATGCCAGCACAGCCCACCTGACAGCTCTCGGGAGGCTTAATCTTCAGCATCCTTGTGATATGTGCCTAAATATCTCCCGTTAGCATCAGCGATCCCACGAGGACCCCGCTGCCCTGAAATTCAATTTTTATGAAGTCATTACGTCCAGCCATTGGGCGCCCTCGGAGATACGGACTCTCCAGAAGAGATGCCTGACACCCGGCTGGTATGCTGTCCATATCGAAAGATGGTTAGCTCATTACCCTGCTTCACAGGTAATTTCCAATCTGTTGTTTCACCGTGCTCGTCGGTTCTGGGCAAGTCCCAAAATGAGTCTGGCCTCATCATTAGAGGTGATGGGGTATTTCCCACTGGAACTGTTAGGAAATGCAGATTTGACAAGATCAGGATATTTGGCAGAAGTGCGTTGATTTTTCTGTCTTGTGGTGGAAAAGATGCAACAGGGAAATGCTATGAACTGTGGCCCCATGGGCTTGACGGGGGGGACTTTGGGGCTCCTTCCAGGATCAGCCAAGGTTGTCACGGCTTCTGGGTCCCACAAACAAGCAGCTGCAGCATGAGACACTGTGGGAAGGTTTGACAAATTCAGTTAGAAAATGCCAGGGCGCTTTCTAAAAAGAAATGTCATTCTGCTTCCCACTCACTCCCTTTCATAGACAATTTGTTTGATCCTGATAAGGAATTAGTCTTTCTCAGTGTTAGAGCAGAAATTCTTTGTTTTGCCCCATCTTCCTTCAGATGTTTTATTGAATTGTCTTTTATAATCATCCCCATGAAAAATTTACATAAACACATAGACCTAAAGAATATTCCCATAACTAGAAAAAAATTGTTTACAGATATAAACCTAAAGCAAACGTTTCAGTACTACAAAAATATGCATGGGCGCTCTTTACCCATCGACGTGGTCCATAGCTCAGTTCATATGTCTACCTACTGTAGAGAACGTTGTAAAAGGGTATTTAATGAGCAAGCATAATGAACAAGCATCTCCAGAGATTGCTCTATGTGGGGCAGAATTTTGCTGAAAGGAGGTAGAACTGAGTGTTGCCTATTTAGTCAGCGACCTGGAAAAACAAAAAGAAATAGAAGCTCTGTCTTTTTGCAATCCTCGCTTTTCTTTTTATACAGTCTAAGCTGTACTACAAAGAGGAGAAGCAGGTCAATCCCATTTCCAGGAGACAGGAGAAAGTCTCAGTTAGTCATTTACTTTCTCCTTTCATCTCTGGCCTTTCTGCTCTTTCATAAATGGGGAAGGAGTACTGCCTAAAGCAGCTGAGCTTGCAGCGAGGGTATCCCCAGCCAGTATTGCCCTGGGAGCACACGGGGCACGTCTCCTCATCGCCCACCACGTCCCAACTTATTCCTCCGAAGGAGAAGAGGCTGTCCCAGCAAATTCAGGGCATGTAAAGGGTGCCCAACATGCCATGCCCGGTTACCTGTGCTCCTTCTCTGCCCTCAACCGGGGCTGTGCCCCCTCTCATGCACCAGGGAGGTTTAGGATGGATATTAGGGAAAATTTCTTCACCAAAAGGGTTGTCAAACATTGGAACAGGCTGCTCAGGGAAGCGGGGGAGTCACCATACCTGGAGGTATTTAAAAGACGTGTAGACGTGGTGCTGAAGGGCATGGTTTAGTGGTGGACTTGGCAGTGTTAGGCTGATGGTTGGACTCAATGATCTTCAAGGTCCCTTCCAACCTAGACGATTCTATGATTCGCCTGATGTAGCGAAGAGCGAGTGCAGCCCTCTTATTAAACATTCAGGGACACATTGACATATTTCTTGTAAAAGCGGTAACCGCTCATGTTTCATAGTTATAGTGATTAATTTTACAAGATACACAACAAAATGCACTCATTCTTAATAAGGTGCACGCAGAGAGTGCACTCATGGTGCTTACTAATGGGCACTCAGTAGTGTGCATTCACTTGGCCTGTGCACTCAAAAACTTAATAATTCATAATAAGCCTTCACAATAAATATAAAACACATCTGCCCAGAATAGTTATTAGTAATACTGTTTGATACTCTGGTAGACTTTTGATACATTGTCTTAACGTTTGCTTGTGGAGATCAATGTACCTTTACATCACATCAATCTTTCATTAAAAACAAAATAAATAAAAAAACCTCTTTGCTAACAATTTTGCGAGCCTATATGGTTGATGGGTGGTGGTAAGTTTCAAATAAACTGACACAATATCACCTTTAAACATGTAATTGTATAGTTTCTGAACACTTAATTCTAAGATATATATCAGGTTTTTCTTATTTTTCTTATTGCATGCCAGATTTTCTACGGACACGTTGTAAACCTCAACAATATTTTTACATTCCTTATCTCTTTTTTCTCAGAATTCTCTGAGACTCAGGTTTGGCATGTGAGATTTAACTCTTGCATTTGAACAATGTGCACACACAGAATTACAAGGTGCCCACCTATACAAATTCAACATAATAAAGTAAAAAGTAAATCTCTAAAAAGTTCATCCATATGACTGTCATTAGCACTGTACAAAGTCACATGCTAAATTAAATCTGTGTTGTCACAGAAGGGAAATGCCATTCTTTCGTTAACCTTAGTCCTGTTTCTAAATAGTTAGCATATTTACCCCTGCAGTTGCTGATTATTGATGGACAGCAGCTAAGAAGTGACCCAGCTACTGTGATGGATGAAGTGCAGAAGTTTCTTGGAGTCTCTCCTCATTATAATTACTCTGAAGCTCTAACGTAAGTCTGTTCCTTTATTATCTGCCCTGTGGTGTACATACCCTCCTACCAAGATCACTTGAACATTAATTACAAACCAAGAAAAACCACATTGCAACGATGATAATTTTGCAAAGCTTGGCGTTTTCTTAAAGTTATGTTTAACACCTATCCGGTTTTCCCTTAACTTGCATACATGTAATACATTAGAGAATTTAATTGCACAGTTGCATACATTTCCATGTGCAAACTCTACTTTGCACAACATACAGAACAAATGACTGCTCAGTGTTTTGTATAAGATGCAGAACAAAGGCCCAGATTCATGTAAAAAATGTTTGCTGAGCTTGAGTGTTAGATGGGAGATGCCCCGGACATGTTTTCTCAGGGTACCCAGTTTTGCTTTCATCCATGCGCTGTTTAAAATGTACATCCAGTTGATGCGAGTTGCGCACGTCGGAGCTCAGCACACATTTGCACATCGGGCTGTTGAACCTTATGACAGTCTCCAGGAGCTGAAAACCATTTGGGTGTGAAAAGTCTGGCTCAAACGTTTTTATCCCATTCGTACAGGAGTCTAATGACAGAGATCGGGTTAGAGGCACTCAGTATGGAAGATCCATCTGGTCACATGGTTTCTTTGATTGTTTGCTTTTAACGTGGACCAAATACATCATTCCCTGATCCCATTTTCCTAGATGGTTGAGCCAATTCTGCCGACCCTTTTGCCTGGTAGTAGCACAGAAGGCACATGGCACAGAAGAATTTAGTCAGTATGCTTAAAGTTTGGTACAATTATAAGCTACTAATAGTAGATCCCTAACCTGGCAGTGCCGGGCTGAAGCGCAGCACCTGGAGCATGGGGAGAAGCTTGTATTTGCCTATGAAGCACAAAACCCTCAGACTGAGCAGCCTGAGTGTCAATGGCCTTGGGTGTCGGTGCCAAAACTGCAGGTACTCCTCAGGAGCCCAAATCAAGGTCCCTGAACTTAGGGAAAGCCCTTTGATTGACTTCCCACAGCCTTTGGTTGGGAGCTGCCAAAGGCAGCTGTGATGAGCCCAGACCACATTTCTCATCCTCGCTCCCCGGAGGGGGAGGCTTTCCCGTGAAAGGGGATTAATGACCCTCTCTTTGGGTACTCTCTCTTTGCCATTTCTCAACTCCCCGCAGGAAGGCAGAGTCTTTGCAGGGGCGGGAGTGGGCTGAACTTCTCTCTCCCCTCTTAGTCTGGCAGAAAATTGTAAGAAGCTTTTGCACTGAGCCTCTCCATATGAGGAGCATCATCTCATTACAGCCAGAAGCACTGGGCTGGGAGAGCCCTGGCATATCCACAGGCTGAGAAGAAAGTTCTTCCAAGTCAGGGTGCAAGCAGGAGCCTGCCCATGGGGTGAGAAGTAGAGAAGCCTGAACCTCATCTTCCCTGCAGGCTGCAAATCCACCAGAAAATGAGACCACAGACTGTCCACCTACCCCACACTGCCTCCTCTCTGCTTGTGATTATTGTTTAATGTTTTCTCCGCTATGGTTATTTATATAATAGGTATAAAGTGAGAGTTGAGTGCCGGTTGTTCTTTGGGTCTTAAGAATGTCGCTCTGCCAAAATCTTTTTCTAGAGGAAAAATTTGGGGTTTCAGAATATATTTATTTAAGTCATTGGTTTCTGAATCTGATAAAATACAGGGGGAGTTCAAATACACAGCTGAACTACTGATGTTTGAACAACTGCTGCTGCACATCTGCAGTGCCTTCTGCTAGGTTTTTAAAAATACACACCCACGTACATATATCTTCCTTTCTGTAACTAAATTCAAGTCAGTGGAGTCACACACCAAGAAAAAATTTGGCCTCTCATATTTGTTTGGACAGTAAAAAACAGATTGTAAACAGGTCTATAAAATTATGCAATCACTGTTCGGAGGCATCAAGAATGCAAATGTGCTGTGGAAGCACACGCTTCTGTACGGATTTAGGATGGAGGAGAAAAATGCATTAAACAATGTAGTGGCTTTATGGTAGGACTGTCAAAGTACAAAAGATTGCATGGGATCGTTCCTAGTCATTACTGCCTAATAACTGTATACCACGCATTTTTAAAGTTGTCACAAAGCAGCCTAAGGACCCAGTCCTGCAAACACTAGTCAGCAACAAGTCCATCACCCTGAGTAATTACTCGAACGTCTTATAGGAGAGCAAAATCAACCCAGGCAGAAGGAAGGTAGTAATCAGAGCCATGAAAAGAGAGCGGAGGGGAGACAGAGGCAGGGCTTGGGTCCCGAGAGAGAAGTGCCCATCACGCTGGGTTAGTAGAAGCCACAGCTGAGATGGGTGACTAGGTCATCGCTTCTCACACGCGCTGCTAAAGAGGACCTAGATTCAGACTAGATACAAGGAAAAAAATTTTTGCGCTGAGGGTGGTGAGACACTGGCCCAGGTTGCCCAGAGAGGTGGTTGATGCCCCATCCCTGGAAGCATTCACGGTCAGCCTGGATGGGGCTCTGAGCAACCTGATCTGGTTGAAGATGTCCCTGCCCATAGCAGGGGGGCTGGACTGGATGACCTTAAAGGTCCCTTCCAACCCAAACTATTCTATGACCCACACTTTATTAGAGTAGTGAAAACAAACGGGGAAAATCAATTAATGTTGCAAGGCTTTAACACATAATGCCATCATTAGAAAGATGTTGGGATCCCCGCACAAAGTGCTAGGAGAGGGAAACTAGTCAGTGGTCTTCATGAAGTTCCCGTTATGGCACTGAAGAGCTGTTTCCCACCTCTTCCCCATCCGCTCGTTTTCACAGGGAGTGACCGAGAGCTTAAATTTTTTAAGTACCTGAACTTAATGAACAGAAATGTAGGACACATGGGACTAAAGTTACGAAAGACCTTTCCTTTTCATCACAGGATCACCCTACTGAAGCTCCTCTGACTGCTAAGATCTATTTCATGCCCGACATCCTCAGATGACTTACAGTCCAGGGTGGCGCGGGCCAGTGGTTCCCTTCTTCCTTTGTTTTTCTCAGCAGGCGGCAAAGGAGGGAGGCAGGACAGAGCTTGGCTTTGGCAAAGGGCAGTCAAAATGCTGTTCCTCCAGCCCTGCTCATCACGCCACGCTCTGCCCACAGACACAGCTCCACATCCAGCCTCACCAGGGAGATTTCCCTCATTTTTCCTCATGTGAACAAGAGGGAAAGGAAAAGACAGGATTAGGGGAGCGTGCTTAAGTAAATGTTTTCTCTTGGAATACCGCTACATTTTTTCAGAGATTAGGAGAAAGAACCTCATGGTGGTGTTGTGTAGCCCTGCCCCAGCAGGCACCCTTCCCGCCTCTGGCATCGGGTACCGACTTCCCGAGAGGTGGGGTGGGCGTGCGGGTGTCCAGGTTCGACCCCGCATCTCCCACAAGTGTAACTCTGCAAGGCAAGAGAAGATAACCAGGCCTGGAGGAAAGGTTTCTGCTGACTGCTTTAAAAAGACCACTTGTAACTTTAGCCTTAAGACTATCGCTATTTTTAAATAAATACTTCCATTGTGCCCAATGAGGTTTATCGGGAGTCCTGAGAGTTTCATCATACCTGAATGCAATGGGTTGAATTCAGCCCGAGCTGTCTTACCCTCTTTTCCCCTACCCAAATTTGCAGATTCTCTTAATAATGTTCAATATGCTCCTTCTGAGGCAGAAATATTGTTTGCGGCATAGTTTTGCAGTTTTCCTTTTACCTGGCTCACTATATTGCTGCTTCTCTTGGGAAATCAGTGCAAGCCAGCTAAAGTACTTCCCCATGCAATGAGCAGATGGAAAAGGCCAAAGTAGAAATGGGTCTCTCATCGATATATCCATTTAATCAATGATTTATTTCCTTTTAATTGATACAGCTACTGAGACAATTTAGGACACAAGGGTCAGGCCTGCAATAATAGGCTGGGCAAGGAAAAAAAAACGTGAAGAAGGTTCACCCTTCTCCAGAAATTAGTTCACTTATGTACAGTGGCAAATTGCAGGTGCACCCGTGTCGTAGGGATAGACCCAGGGCAAAAAGGTAGTCTGTAACTAATTAACTCTGTGTTCCTGCCAATTATATTTCATCCTTTTCAAACATCTGCTGACTAGCAGAAATGCGAACCTCTTCAATGTTTTATGCATGCTGCAAGACCCATAGCAATAAATTCAAAACTTAACGCTGCTTGGTGTTCATTCCTTAGTGAGTAGTGTTTTAAAGCCTTAATCTAAAATTCCTATATCTTTGAACTTTAGACATCAAAATCAAATTGTGTATTTCAGATAAGACTGCTAGCACAGTGTTTATGCTACAATGCCATCTTTGGAATGAAAATGATATTTAGATCTAATGATACGGAGCAACCAGCTTCTCAGGTGCAGTTAAATTATCACCAACCAACCAGCGGTTCTTTCAGTAGACCTGAACACTGCTTATTTCGCTCAAAAATCAACATAACTTAAAACATTTCAGTATTCTACTTCTCATCGTTTCATAGTCATGCAACAATCACACACTTTTCCGTATAAATTGGAGGCAGCAAATAGATCCGCTTGCCCTTTCTAATCCCTCTCACCTTGACAGCGCTGACCTACAACCGCATCAGCTCCGACCGGCCGTATGGAGAGCTTTCCTTGAGCACAGCTGATAACATCCTTGAGAACACAGCGCATCGAATTCCAGGAAAAGAGCCAATTAGTAATTTTTTCAGCAAAACATTCTTTGTTCAAGTGTCAATTGATCAAAACATTAGCATCCTGCCGGGACACACGGAGCAGTCTGACGTGAATAAAAATCTCCGACCAAAAGCAGGCAATAAAATCTGAGTCACAGGCTGGAGTGGGGTCGTGTACGTTCCTTGAGCCTGAGGCTCAGGACCTTGATTGGCATCCTATAGATCAACGCTTAGAACTTGTACCCTATATGCTGGGCAAGTAGAATAAGTACTAGCTAGTCTAAGTAAAGCACAATGTGAAAAACTTCTTGCCTTGAGCAAGAAGCACTCCCGAGGCAAATTTGAGGAGAAAATAAATTCCCAGAGGTTTCACAAGAGAGGAAAGCCCTTTCCCACTCTGTCCTCAGTATTTTGGTCATTTAGAGAAACGTGTGCAGCAATAATTGTTGGCTAACGCTGATGTCTTAGTAGCTGGGAGATTCTTCTGTAGTGACGTGTTTCAAAAAACATAATTCTCTCCAGGTTTGACCCTCAGAAAGGCTTTTGGTGCCAGTTACTGGAAGGAGGGAAAACAAAGTGCCTGGGAAAAAGCAAAGGTCGAAAATACCCACCAATGGACCAAGAGGTAAGGCCTTTCTAGAGATGTAAGTTAACATTTTTTAATATTGACCCTACGTTTGACTCCTAAATTAGACGCAATGATTATTCTTTTTAATTATTATTATTTTCACTGCCTTGATATTTGTAAAAAACCAGAAACTTTTAATGAGCTTTGAATGACAGGAGATCAATTGCCCCTTCTTCTTAAGAGCCCCTCTCTGGGAGCAGTGCACAGCTCCGGGGCGGGAGCACCTGCCAAAATCTGCCGTTGGGTGAGTTTCCTTCTCTGACAGTTGTTCTTTTTTTCACCTTTCTCAGTCTCGTGCGTTTCTGTCGAGCTACTACAGAGACCACAACGTGGAGTTGTCCAAGCTGCTGCACAGGCTGGGGCAGCCCCTGCCCTCCTGGCTGAGACAGGAGCTGCAGAAGGTCAGGTAGCACCCAAGGGCGGGGGAGCCACCTAAGGACGATTTCCTTCACCGTCAACCCCCCTGCTTCTCCGACTCACTTGTGATCGTCAGTAGAGGACCTCATGAATAACGCTCTTTCTATTAAAAGGGAAAAAAAAGCAACAAAATCCACACAAAAGAATAAAAAACTCCAAACCCGACAACTGTTTATATGCACGCGCTGACAGTTATTAGCATCGACCCCTTTTGTCAGCTTCCAGGAAATAATACGGAGCTACGTGGCATTACTCTTTATCCAGACCGGGATTCGTGCATAGCCTAGTTCCTCTCTTCACCAGGAAGTATCAGAAACTGTGTGTAGGACGGATTGACTTCAGTGTATGTGACAAATTGCAGTCTGTCAGGACACGAGCAAAGGACGGGAACATCTCTCGCTGGACCGTGAGGTTGGTCATCCCCTGGGGTTTGTCCACCTTTGTTTTCGCTGCTTTTTCTGCCAACCCGGGAAGTGTTCCTGTCACTTCAGTGCCATCATTCAGCGCTTTGCAGGCGGGATCCCCGATGGTAATGACAGATGTAGTATTAAAGCACCATCATTGCTTTCTCCACAGAAAGAGGTGGGCTAAATTCTCACCTACCCCGCTTCCCTGGGATTCCTGTAAAAACCCACGACACTCTGGGCTCCTTCCTCTGTTGGGGGTCGGGTTGTTTGTTCCCTTCACGACAAAATATATCCTGATTCGCTGGAGTCGTGTGGGTTGTTGAGGTGCAGGGCAGCGAGGTGGCCCTCCTCACAGATCCCGTTGCCTGTCTGTTGGACGTGGCTACTTTGCCACCCTGATAAGGTTTTTCATCGCATCTGTTGGGTTCCTACAGCAGCTGTGACAGAGCTACGTGAAACTGCATCAAACATTTTGCCATAATGCCGTAAGACTCATTAAAACACCAACAAAACCTTTTAAAATCTAAGCAGGCCGTGCAAGCAGTGTAGCGAGAGTAACTTAATATCGACAATTTTGTTTTCTATCTGGAAAGCAATGTTTTTGCTCTGAAGCCTTCAAAGTAAGAGACTGGGCTCATCATTCAGGGTCTCAGTCCTCAAGCTAGTACAGAAAAAAACACTTTACTGACCAAAGGTATTTGTTAACCTCCAGTCTGTTGAAGGATAAACTCTTTTTATAGACTTTAATGGTGTTGAAAGGACAACCATATCCACTCTGTATCACATATGCGTATATGATGCATATATTTTTATGCCTGCGTATCTACTTACTGTATGTCTAGATCAGACATACGCTTGATTTTAAATATCTGCTTTTTGTGCTCATAGGTAAAAAAAAGGGCTGTTTACCAAAACTACGATATTATGAACTGTGCTTTCTTCTCAGATTTGTGTGGGCAAAGTTGACAAGACTGGGCAGAAAACTCACTGGGAAATTTAATCGGAGGGAACAAACACCATTTAGGCATTTTAGCCTTGTAACACTTTTTCTCAAGAAAACAAAGCTTTGCTACATGTTCTTTATGCAGCACAAAATGGAGTAGGTTTGAGTTTTCAAACATCCCCGTCTGAGCTACTAGGCACGAGCCATTCCAGGTGCTGCAGAGGCTTTGGGCTTTCCCCTCCCCGTGAATTTGACGCTAAGGTCCTAGCTCAGGAGACAGAACTGGACGTTGGGGTTGCAGCACGAATTCAGCCTCGTGCGAGCCAGCCTCAGGGAACACCCCTCAGGGCACATCGTGGACTCTGCTACTCGAGAGCACTTAGGCAACCTAATTTAGGCTTCAAACCAGTTAATACATGGAGACATCTATCTTAGCATTTCCAAACTCCTACATCATGAGACTGGCCACCAAGCTCATGACACCAGCTTATTTTGAATTGACAAGTCCAGAGCTTCCCAGAGCTATCCTGGTGCCACCCATCCTGCTCCCAGCTCGGCAACAGCGGCACTTGCTGCTGAGCGTTCTCTGGCACCACCTGGCCTCCACCGCTTCCCTCCACCACTCTCCATCTGAACGTGCCTGGCTGCTTCTTCCCTCCACACCACTCCAGCCCTTTTTTCAGTCCCAGCACTGCCCTGGTCCAGGTCCCTCATCCATGTGAGGAGCCGGCACTGCCCTCCTTGGTCCCACACACACAGCCCACGGGGTCACAGAGAGGAGAGGCTGAGGTGCAACCAGCACCACGGCCCTGCGTGGGCCTTGTGCTCCTGCTCTCCACCTCAGCCCTCGCTCCTTCTGCAGGAGGACCCACAGCAGGGTTGGGAAGAGGACAAGGACTGGTACCCTCCTGTACCCCCCCCAACATGCCCAACCCCACCAGTGCTGCACTAACCTGCACACACAAGGACGTACAGGAACATACAGGAAAGCCCAAAAGACAAACGGTGCCCAGTGTTTGCTTTTAAATATTGAAATGGGATTCATCTCGCGTAAGTGAGACATCCACTTTATTTTATAGGTGATGAAGGGAAATAGCGCTTCTAGGACACCATTCATGTCATCACAAAGCAGACTTCTTAAATGAGCGAGATTAATCTTGCCTCTTCCTCTCTATTGATCGTAAAAGGACAATAGACATCTCGTTCAGAGGAAGAGCTCAGCTGTATAGGTCTAAAATTAGGTGAGCTGAAAAGCAAAATGGTATTTTATCTCACAGCTGTAGTTGTCGAAGAAGAGAGGGAGCTGGGAGGGTCTGAGGGAAGGGTTTGATTTTGTTTTGTCTTCCTGAAGTAATTTTTCTAGTTCTTGTATTTCACCCAGGAGGACTCCTCAAAATGAGCTAGGGCAAACTAAACGCCAAATAAAAGAAACCTTATGTGGCAGTTTGGGGCTTTTTTTGGGGGTGGGGGGAAGTTACACACTTTGTTGCAAATTCATATTCCTTTAACTTTTAGCACTGATAATGCCCATGATGACTAGTCTGAGGAGAGTTTTGGATAAGTAAGGCTTGGTGAGAGAAGAGTATCTAAATCAACCATTTGATAAAATTTTAGCTGTTAAAATCCATTAGAATTGGCTCATCACTAATTAAAAGATGACTTCATACTTCTTGATTAAAAGCTAAATAAACATGAAATTGGTTTCAGGAGTTTTTCAAGGAAATGAGAAAAATACCTTAGAATACGGAAAACTATTTCTTGTTCTTAGCTTTTCATTTAGAATAAAAAAGAATTAAGTCTTTCCAACTCTCAGCTCTGTAACAGCATCATGTCCTTAAAACACACTGGATATTTTTATACCTCATTGTTATTTTTTAAGTTTGAATGGGCATCACATTTCCGAGAGATCTCGCGTTCCATTGAAAACCGACATTTGAATTGACTTCATTATGTGTCATATAAAGATGAAATAACAGTATTTCAAAGTTCCATTCCTTCCACTTGTAATAGGACCCATCAGCACAGAATTTCTCTGGACCACCGTATTATAGAGGAGCCTTTGTGCACTAGCTGTAAATGATCTCCATTTCTTTTACGCCTTTCATATCGCTGACCACGTAATTGTTGGGATTCTTAACGACCGGCAAAACAAATGCAATAAAAATGAAACATTCATTCATGGCAAGGGGGCTGTAGCTGGGAAAGATAATGCTGGCCCTTCTTTCCTATTCATAAGCCACAGGATTCATCTCCGCAATACCTCCATGTGGTGCAGGCTGTAAATCAATAGAAGTTTTACATACTGGAGGGCTGCGGCTGCAGTTTGCTCCCATTCCCCTGGAAATACGGATACCTGCAGAGGTTTGAAGGAGCCTTGCCGCACCGAGGACCTGACCTACTGCCCGTGGAGACCAGTGGCAGTCTTCCTATTAACTCCAGCAGACCCTGCTTGGCCCCAGGAGCTGCTTTCGTAAGGCCCAATCTGGGCGGTTCAAGCATCACGTAGCCCTGTCACTGCTGGAAATCCATCACTAGTTTGATTTCTATTACCGAAGAGCAATTTCTTCCCCCCACCTCTCTCGGTCGGTGCTCTGCCATGGTTGGAGCTGCAAACCGTCCTGACCACCAGCACCCCATGGGGCTGCACCCCTTCTGGTCTCCCCATATCGCACGTGTCCCTCTCTGCTACGAGAAATAGAAAACCCTATGGGCCAGACACAGGCATCAGGGTCTATGGCAGCATATACGATGATTAAAGCAGGACTTTGGCCCTCGGAAAACCAAGCTTGTATAATCGAGGTTGTCTTTGAGCAAGAAGCAATCAGAACGGAATCCAAAACCTTCGAAATTATGCATTGACCTCTGAAGGTCTAAAATAAAGTTGCCGGATTAACTGCTCCTAGATGTTTTCTAATAACACAAATTTTCTCTCTGATAAGGAATCAGACTGCCGAGTCTCCCCAAAACAAATTAAGATGGCGGAATTACAAATTCTTGGGGGAGGAAAATGTTGCGTAATGAAAGCGCCGATGGGTCCAGACTCTCTGATGTGATAATAAGGCAGAGGGCACATGCCCTGCATACAGAAGGAGAAGCTGACTGTTTTCTCCTTTTCCTTCCCCCTCCTCCTTTTCTTTCCCAGTTGAAGTCTGAGGCAGCGTAGTGCGTCTGAAAAGCACACGACGGGCAGAGCCCGTGAGATGGGGGAACATTATTCATCTCCAGAGCGATCAGCCAAGAATAAATTGGGTGCAGGGTGCTCATTTCCCCTAAGCTGGGCCACCTTAAAGTCAGACATCAAGTCCAAACTAGTCATTTAGTTTCCATCAGTAGCAAATTATGTTTATAATGGGTTTAAAATTGATGTTTATAATAGGTTTATGAGCGTGTGACAGCTGTGTAAAACAGGTACAACATAGGTATATAAATCAGCAGAGACTAAGTGTCTAATTTTATTGTAGTTAAGTAAGATTAAGTTGGCTGCCGGTGTCAGGAGAAGCTCTCTTTGCACACGCAATTTAGCTTTGCCATTTTAGCTCTCGGGTTGCAGTGCCATCTCTCTCTTACCAGTAGATATTCGCTTTCTCAAAGAGCTGAAATCTCTCATGATCACCTCACTGTATTTGTCCTCATCTGTATCCGGTCCATCATTATATTAGTTCATACATCTCTGCATAAATCTGCCAGGAACTGTTGCTTTGGAGACTTCTTTTTTTATTTAAGTGTATGGTCTTAGGATAGGAATTTCCCCGTCG